GAATTAGAAGAACTCATTCGAGTATACAAAGAAAGAGTGGTACCTCCCTTTCATTCTGCACAACTGATCTTGCGATTATTATTATTATTATTATTATTATTTCGAATATACACTAGACGATATCATTCAAACAAGCTTCATTAGAAACTAATCATCAAGGAATTTGATGATCCGAGCATGTTATATTCCAAGGAGGAATTGACAAGGACATTCAGAACATATGTGATTTGTAATCGAGTAAAGAAAAAGACAATTTTATTCTCAAGGTTTCATTCAATATTGAAAGTAATCATGATCAGCATCTCTTGTTTAATTTCAGATATTTCTCTTATGCAAAATCTTATAAAAGTTGTTCGAAACATTTCGTTGAATTCCGTTTATATCAGCTATGTAATCTAAACGAAGAAATAACAGAACACTTTTGCATAATCGTATGAATTAATCGTATTTTAATATGTTCAGTTAGCCTTCGACAAGAAATAGTTAATGATCTTGTTCATTTTTCAACGATGATATCAGCAAAAGATAAATTAACAGACTAATTAAGTACACACGCATTTGTTTTTCAGATATTCGATCGTCTATACATATATGAATGATAAGTAACAGGTGTATCAAATCTTCGATCCATCATACAGAACATAATTCTGATGGCAAAGATCAACGAAATTCGAGTCTGATGCAAGCTTGATAACTATTTCCTATGTATGCATCATGCACAGTTCAGTTGAGAGCGAATATTGTGTTAATCATGCTATGCAGGTGGGATGAACAAGGTTAATCTGAGTGACGAAATGTCAGATGTTATGTTTGATAAAAAAAATTATTTGAATATATTGACGGATGAGATCGGAATTGTAAAGATCATTTTGATGTTTGAGAAAAATGAATTTCAATATGAATTTTGTTGATTTTTTTCACAATAGACTCTACTGCAAATAAGAAATTTTTCTGTTATCATCTTTCCTGAGAGAAATACACACCCACACACACAGAGAAAAAAGTTTTGAAATTGCACAAAAACAAACTAAAAGAAAATACGCGATTATTTCAGTCGCTGAGTGAAAAAAAAACGAAGAAGCACGCATACACACGCACACACACAAGAAAAAGTTAAAGAAGATTTTTCGTTGACTAGTAGTGTTCCCTGAGAAAATAATTTCCATCTAAACATCCATTTTCTCCTCTTCAGCAAGACGCGCGACGTTCGTCAGAGGTACATTGTATTTAAATGAAGAATACTGTGCTCGAAATGTGTTCATCGATGGCGGTGGAAGCGGTGATGATGAAGAATCGGTGCCACTACTTGTATACGTTGTTGCAGTCGAGATTGATAACGATAAGGGTCGTCCAGAAACAATCTGTTGATGTTTTGATGTACAAATCGAGTCATATCCGCTGTCTCGTGGTGGTTTTGCTAAAACTTTCAATATGAAACGATCGATTGAAGAAAACAATGCGAAACATACGTGGTGGAATGACAACAGACGGCATTGACGAAAGATATGGCGAAGGTGGGTAACTATTTCGAATGATTCGAGAAAAGCTTTGATGATCTGACAAGGGCCGCATTGTTGAATTCTAAAAGAAAAATTCAATGAGCAAAAAACGAATTGAATCCCAGTCGAAAGTTTACTTTGTTAAGAATTCGTATCTGCCGATGCATTGAATCCGATGATTCAAACGAGGTTTGATCACTTCCATTTAAATTCACAAGACGTTCACGTTCTTCAGACGTCATATCATCGTGTTCATCTAATTTACTGCTACACGCACTATCATCATTGTTAAACGGAGATTTTCGTTGGATAGTATCGTACAAATTGAATCGTCGAGAACAATCGTAGGTTTGATTCGGTTTGAGAACTTTTCGATGACGAAAGATATACGAATGTAAACAAAATGTGATAGAAATAGTTATGATAATAAGAATTATAAATAGAAAAAATAGAAATAAACCGATGATTACATAAGAATAATGATCAAATAATGGTAATGACCATGAAAAAATAGTTTTATCACTAATAGATGAGAGATTTGAATATGATTGATTATCATCGTCGAGTGTAGCGTCGATTTGTTGGAATTTTAATGTCGAAATCGAACATTCTTGAGTTGTATTCAAGCGATTTGGAATTCCGTGATCCATGGCCATTATTCGCAGATGATAAGATGATGATTGATTTAAAATTTCCGAAAGAAATACTTGACCCTGATCATTAATAGTGAACAAATTCTCATATGGCGGAAGAATCGAATAAGACAGACGAGCATTTTCATCTAGATCAGCATCCGTCGCATATATTTGAAACAACGGCTGATTGTTTTCTAAAAGATCAAAATCTTCTGTTTGTTTGAAAGTTAAAAGGAGGGAAAACCAAACGAACCTAATGATTGATTTTGCGAAGGATTTATTTGTATATTACAGCTGATTGATTGATTGAATACAGGTGGTGAATCATTTTCATCAATAATCATCAATTTGTATTCTAAACGAAGTTCTTTCGAAGGTTGTCCGTGATCATAAATAATTAAAATAAATTTCTCCGAATAGACTCGGTTGTCTTCTCGATCAACCGAACTTTCCGTAATGAGTAAAAACGACTTTTGATCAATCGTTCGGATTCCAACTAAGTCATTGCCTTCGTCAATTCGATAGGACATTTCCCCATTTAGTCCTGAATCTTGATCGGAGATCGAAACATGCGCTAAAATCTGTCCGACTGGAATGTTTTCATGAATGGGGATGATCGAATCATTGATTAACGATTGAACAAATGTCACAAATGCTTGTGGACGATTATCATTCTCGTCGAGAATTGAAACATCAATTGTAGCAAAGCGTGCGAGAGAATTTTCGCCTAAATCGCGTACTTGAATTGTTAAACGATAAGATTGTTCAGATTCATAATCAAGTCGGCCGACTAGAGACAATCTAAAGAGACAAAAAAAAGGCACAGTTCTTCTGCACAGAATCAATTCCATAGAACATACATTCCAGTCGAATCGCCGATTCGAAAAAGATCCATCCAACTCGATGATGGAAGTCCATTTGTGATCGAATAATGAATCTGAACAGTCCAAAATGACCATGTGAATAGCAAATAAAACAAAGTCGTACCTTTCCATTCAATCCGATGTCTCTGTCTGTTGCATTAATACGTGCTAATTGTGCACCAACAGGTGTACTCTCGCTAACATTTAAATTAATGTATGATTCGGCAAGAACAACAGGGTTGTCATTCATATCCTAAGAAGAGAGGAAAATAAATTTGAATGTAGTTTTTCGAAGTACATACATCGATTTTAATGTACAATTTGGTTGAGCTTTGTCGCTTAGGTTGACCATTATCAATGGCAATCAATTCATATTCATAATGATCTCGTTCTTCACGATCGATCTCCTTAATCACTTTCAAAACTAACCCACCATTAATCTTTGTCATCAATTCAAACGGTCCATCATTATTATTTTCATCCAAGCGCTTCAATTGATAATTAATTCGACTATTTTCACCCAGATCCGCGTCACTCGCTTGTTCTAAATTCACTTCATAGCCAATTGGAGTATTTTCCATTACGTTAAAATCATAAGCATTCGATAAAAACCTTGGAATATTATCATTAACGTCATCGATATTCAAAATCAGTTGTAAAAGACGGTACGGTGACTGCCATTCAATCAATTCGATTGTTAATTGACATTGTAAACAAGAACATAAACGTTGCGAACATAAATCTTCGCGATCAATTGAACGTGCAAGAAAAAGATGACCGGTCGATGAATCATATCGAACAAATGAATTTTGAT